TAGATATTCTGATCATCATAATCACTGAAAAGATTAAGCATTTCACATACCTTTCTTGCACTGTGCAGCAGCAGCAGCAGAAAACAGACTGGATGGTGTGATCTGTGAACAAGAACATTTTCCATATTTTCCGTGTTTCTGTTTTTTTGTTCACAGAATGTACAGAATTAAGAATACCATATGTGCTTAGCCCCACTATTAGTTCTGTCTTCCTGTGAGATATCTAGCAAATATTAAGGCTGAATTTGGAGCCACCAAAGACAGCAGAGCTTTCCTACTACCCACTGTCTTCCTTACAATGTCTTAGCAATTATGAGGCCATATGTATGAGTTAAATCATCTTACTAAATCAGCAAAAATAAAATAAAAAAGAGACCTTGTCAGCCAGATTAGTACTGATCTGACTGATCACACCACCCTGCACAAGCTCCATTCAGTGCAATGAGGGAGATGAGAATCTCATCAGGGACAGAAAGTGGAGAAATGACTGCTTCAGCACTGACATAGTTTTTAGATCATTCAAGCCAAATACAAAATAACACTTGTATGGCAAGCTTTTCTTTATTGCAAGGTTTATTACAGGAGACATACTTCATTCAGTTCTTTGAAATAAAACTGATTTTCTGTTGCTGACATTAATATAATAAATGCATTAGCCCAGGTTTAAAGTGCTGACAGATATATGCTTTGCCCTTACATATCAAGTGTCTTATAATCCCGAGAAAAATACACTGGATACATCATCACAGACATCAAACATTTAAAGAGAAACCAATCCAATATATCTTGTATGTGCAGCAGGGAGGATATGATATGAAATAGGTCAGAAGGCATTAAGAAGATTTGAATGAGGTAAATAAATGGTTCACATCTCTCTGGACTTCTGCTACTCAGACTGAGACCTACTTTCCACAATCTGTGTTCACACAGCAGTTTGAGCCAAGTTGTAGCAGTTATGGTCCCATACTCTTTCCCTCTACACTGTTGTTCATCTCATTTCAACATGAGCAAGACAGGATGCTAAACCAGCAGGTAATCCCTTTCTGCTGGCTCAGCTCCCTGAACTGTCTCACCATCATGCATTGCCATGGGCGGGTGCGAGGGCAACAGCATCAGCAGGACAGGCTCAAGCTCTTGTATGCAATGTACAGTCTCTTAAGAAGCATGAGAGTCAAGGCTGGAGAGACAAGGTTCCTCTCATATTCAGTTGTACTAACAGAAAATAAACTTTATATATCCCACTCCAGTGTGTCCTATTTTTCTCTACCACAGAGATCGTAGTTTGCAGAGGCCTCAGAAAGTTACTTGAAATAGGCTTCCCAAGGTTTCAGAATTTTGCTGCTTTGTATTTCACATATTTCTTTGTGTGGTCCCATTAGTCTCTTCCACTTTATTTGGTTTTGCCTTCTGGCATTTTTGTGTTGTTGATCCCAATGACCTAATCCAGCCTGGAATAAATAGAGTGTCTCTTCTGATGCCTTGTGAAACTTTTTGCCAGTGCCTGTTACCAACTGAAAAGCCAAGTGTGGTGAGAGTATGCATCCTAGCATTCAAAACATTAAGCAACCTTACTACATGATGAAAATTAATTATTTTCTCTATTAAAGTATGTAACTTAGCAAATCTTGCACAAATAAAAGAAGTGAAAATGTCAGATATCAGACTGATAAGACCAATCCAGTTCTTAGTTGGAAGAGACCCGTCTCATAAGTGTTTTGTTTAGGACTGTCTTTAAAGCCGTGGCGCAGTTTCCCTTAGACTGTTGCATCCTGTGATGAACCTATCATGTGGGAAACTGGTGAGCCTACAGTAATCAGAAGACACCATCAGTTTTTTTATAGAAGTTCCCACTGACAGCTCTGCAAAATGCAGAAATTTAAAATACCACAGCCAGCCGACAGGGACAATTTTCTTCAAAGAAACCAGGCTTAAAAGATATGGGCAATGCAGTTTATTTGCTGCATAATTTTCCAGTGTACATCAAACTGTCCCTCAGCTGTTTAAAACTGTGTTTCATAAACAGTGAACCCTGTGGGTGAAAAAATTTTTGGGTTTGTTTACTTCAGCCAGTGACATGAAGTTTAATCAATGTTTATGAAGTATTCAGTTATTTGCAAAAAGGAATATGCATTTGAAAGCTTGTTTGTTTCTTCTAATTGAAACTGAAAGCTAGTCCCATAAGAAGAGAGAAAGTGAAAACACATCCTGGCCTAATACAGTCCCATGACACCCACAGTATGCTTTGGGCTGATAACATTGTCTGTGTATGTGGCCAATTCCCACACTTATATACATACTTATATACATACAATCTTCAGTAGTAACTCACTCTAATTGGCAGCTTCGGAGAAGTAGCATCAAAGATAAAAGCAACAAGTTTAGAGATCAATTTTTATAATTTGGATTTTATCATTTTATTATTTCACAGGTTTCTTGACTTTTCTTTTTCTGAATCACTGTTTCTCAAAGCACTACTAACGCTGAAAATGCTGTAGTCCATGTCTAAGGCTTGCACTCTTCTAGCATGTTTTGCAAGAAACTCTTGCTCTTGCAGTGAAGCAGCACATTAATTGTGTTCAACACTACAAACTCAGCTTCACCCATCAAACCCAGATCTTTGCTGTAACACATGGTGTGCCTCCTGATCTGGTCTGTCAATTTTCAACAGTACTAGAAAAATCAATAATCTGATAGAAAGCCACCTTACAGTTTGCTTCTAAAAACAATTTAAAATACAACCTTTCAGCTTTTCATGTGTGCAAGCTGAGGCTTTGTTTTTTCTGTGAGTTAAGTCTGCGGTAGAGGAAAGAGAGCTTTAGTTCTACCAAACTTTTTACACATGTCTATGCAGTTCCTGCTTTTAAGAACTGTATGTGGAAACATCTGTCAGTATGTAAAAGTAGTAGTTGCTTTGTTGAATCCATCGTGCAATGGATTAATATTTGTGCATTAATTTTGAAAGTCAAGACAAGAAGTCTGAACAGAGATCACCTTAGCAGTGCAGAAAACAGGTTCGTATTTTTACGGTAATATTTAAATACTTCAATTGCTAAGTACATTGCTGTTGTACAAAACAAAACTGCAAGATCAAAATATGCAGCCAAGTTTACTTACAGGTAGAAAGAATCATGTCTGGTTATCTGTTTATATTCAAATGAAAATGGAAACCTCTCTTTATGAGCTGTGCCAGTGAAACAGCCCAAGCTGAGCTCTTTGCTCTGATATGAAACATGGTAAACCACAAGTATTGCTTGACCACGCCTACTTACCTTTTATTAAAAAAAAAAAAAAAAGCCCCAGAAGGGGGCCCTAGAAGGAGAAAAAAGTGTCTGCTTTCTAGTAGCAAACATTACTGCAAAAAAAAAAAAAAAAGTTATTAAACTGTTATCATAGGTTCAAGTATTTCTTTTAAAAAAAGGATAAAAGCCACAATAGATGTAAATAACAGCATTTGGTTCTGTTCAGATGGATTTTTGACACCAACATTTGAAAAAAATCAGTAACAATAAGAAGGGGAGGAAGGACTGAAGTTGCTTAATGAGTGAGCTCATCCAGAAGAAAGGATGGTACAACATTTCAATCTGCCTTTGAATACATCAGGAGTCAACAAGACAGCTGCCTCCAAAGGCATTCCGATCCTTTCTAAAATTAGCCACTTAAGGCTACATTCAACTAAAAAAGTGCATTCATTGATACACTGGGTCCCTCAGAGTTCCTGACATCCTAAGTATCAAATCCAAAAGCAGGTAGGCAGAAATTATACTCAGGTACTGTGAAAAGGCAGGTGAAAGTGTTGGATTCAGAGCACCCACCCCACTGAGAAAACTACTGCCAGAGGTCCACATAGTTAGGGTGTGTTTTATCATACAAAGTAATGATAAATATTTAATTACTTTAAAGAAACAGGCTTAAGGTTCATTGGAAACTATTTATCTTCTGATTTTCCTATGCTTCGTTTGTGTTTTAAGAGAACATTACTTACTACTGTAAAATTCTTCATGATGTATTGTTGAAAGTGTTGGCAACACCATACTTTGCAGGATCTCCATGGTGAAAGTGGGGTTCAAAGGAGTAGTTAGGGAAGGAAAGATGAGCTTGGCTTACATTAAATGTTCCACATCATTTTTTCTACTACATGTAGAAACCCCTAGATTTTCCCTCTTAACAATACATGCTGTTGATATTGATTGGGGAATGGCTTGGACTCAAAAATTTGACAGATTGGATTGCATAGTTGGAATAATCTTCTGAGACTTTGTCATTAAGAAAAAAGAGATAGGCATTTAAACCTTTTCTGACAGTCTGTAACTTTTCAATGGAATACTGTGAGAAAAAGAAAGCACTTCTTCCAAGAGGGAGGAGGCTTCCTCCTTCTGAACATAAAGGTTTAGGCAAAGCAGTGGAGGAATTTAAGCATTTCCAAAACTGATTACAGAAATACTCAAATGCAAAAATGATAGAATGCATTAAGCTAACTTAGGTAACTATAGTTACCTTTAATAATTCAATTGGAAATAAAGTCCACTGTACTCCTCTCTGACTACTTGCAAAAGAAATTACAAAGGTTTTGTGCAATATATTTCCTATTATACATGGCACAAGAGTACAAGTAGCAAAAGAAAAAGAAAGTGTAATAGAGCTACTCAGGAGATAGCTACAGCAAAACTGGAGTGTAAATACTCCTCATATCCACTTGCACAAAGTCAGATTAACTGAAACAGGCTTCAGCAAGGCTGTGGAGACACTGGCTTCTAGCAGAGGGGACATGGCAGGTAACTTCTAAAGAAAGTTCAGGCATTTCTGCACTTAACATTTCACTATGGCCAAATTAATTTAAATATATATCCATTCTACCATTTATGTATTTAGTATAGAGTGTGTATACACACAGAAATATACACATACATGGATTATCATAACACTATAATCATGTGAACAATTAGTTTGACTTATGATGTACTGACAGTAAATTATTTGCTACAAATTAATTGGTCCCAAACAATAGTTAACATTCAGTTTATTTACACATGTGTAGTATGACATTTTTTTGTTATGAACAGAAGGGTTAGATCACTCTATGTACAGATGACAGAAGAGTTCTCCTTAAACACACTTGAAAATTTACTTTGTTTCATTTACAATCCCACATATAGAGTTGTGTATTCAAGTGAGGGTAGGTCAAATTTCAAGACAAACACCCCCACTTTATATAAATAAATGCATTGAATTTATATATTTACATTACATACAGCATATAAATTATTTTATAATTAATTCAAAACTTGGTACTATGGTACACTGACAGCCAGTTGTGCTGAGTCTTGGACTTAGTTTTCATTAGTAACATCAAGACTAACCATGGGAGGTCTCTGGTTCACCAAACAGCTTAGAATGACTTTGGAATATCACGGCTCAGTTCTGAAGCAAGGCTTTTAGAGTGTTACACTAAACTGAAGACTGTGCTGGCAACAACCTACTATGTGCAAATGAAAGAGACATGTTTTATCTTCTTGTGATGTGCTATAAAACACCCATCAACTGAGAAAAATAATGTTTCTGGAGAATCTCTGAAAATTTTTCAATGTCAGTAAATAGTAATTTATGGATACCTTCCATTTTTAAGCATGCAAATCACTACTAATACTACTGTCTGTCTAAAGAGAAACTCAGAAACGTGGACTGTATGTACATGAAACCAACCCACTAAATGCAAGTGAGGCTCCTGACCTTTGGTCACATTGTCTCCCTCCATGAAGAGTTCAACTTGCCAGCTAAGCGATGCTGACTTTTTAGAGAAAATATAGAGACTGTTAATATTGCTGAAGACACTGTGTTCATTTCCCAACATCATGTAAAACTCTCCTTTGTGCCTGAGTGGATTAGATGTTACAGGTTCCCCACATTGTTTAGTGACACCCAGCAGCTTACAGGATCAAGCTCTTTAAAAGAAATTATGTAGCCCCATCTCTGGAAAGTGGCTTTTTTTCTGTCCTTATGCTGTTGTTGTCTTTCTTCAGAAAGCATCTTCCCCCTCTGCAATCTCAATGATCGCACGAAGTAACTCTTCAAAAGTCGGGCGTCCCTCTGGTTTCTAAAAATAAAAAGCATGCACAGCTGTGATCAGAAATCAATAAAGTTTTGTTTATTTTGATAAAATATTGGTCATTATATCATTCTGTGGCAATGAATTTACCATTTCATTAGATATGAAATGCAAAAATATTTCCTTGTCTGGATTTTGGATCTGTCACCTAATCTCAGTAAGCAACACCTTTTCTTTATGCTTTGAAAAAGCATAAATAGGTCTTGTTGGACTACTCTTCATATAGTTTATTATTTTGCATAGTTCTACACCTTTTTATTTTTCTTCCCCATCCCCACCTTCCCCCAATGAACAGCTCTAATCTTTCTCTATGCAAGTTTTTTATGCTCCTAAGAACTTTGAGTGTCATTCTCTGATGCCTCATTTACATCAATTTTATTTTTAGACCTCCTAAATGAGACCGTGTCACAGACTTACACAAAAGTATCTTTCATTTACTCTATTTTCCATACAGTTCCTCAATGTGTTTTATCATCCTGTTTGTTTTGTTTATTTAAATATTGAATCACCATCCTTGGAAGTATTTAAAAGACATGTAGATGTAGCACTTACGGACATAGTTTAATGGTGGACATGGCAGTTCTGGGTTAATGGTTGGACTTGGTGCTCTTAAATGTCTTTTTCAAGCTAAATGGTTCTATGATTCTAGGACTGTGGCAATACACTGATGTAATCTCTTCGCTGACTGCAGGAGCAGCCAGACAGACAACAGTGGCCAGCTGGATGATAAAAGAAGAAGAATAAAATACTAAAGCAAAAATATTATGGTCCTGAGCCAGCCAGAGCTAAGATTAGTGTGTGTGAAAAGAAAGACAAGGTCAAGCTGGAAAGCCGCTTGAGGCACGATTGTTCTTTGGTGACCGAAAGCAGTCACGTGCGCATGTGCTGATAAAGAAACATCTGGCCTGGCTTGATAGCTCGGACCACAATATGTTTGCTTTAGTATTTTATTCTTCTTCTTTCATCATCCAGCTGGCCACTGTTGTCTGGCTGGCTGCTCCTGCAGTCAGTGAAGAGATTACCTCAGTGTATTGCTACAGTCCTAGAAGCTGACCTCCCTGACACAGTTAATTTCACATCTCCTGAGGGCCTGGATAGCTTGCACTTTTCCTCCATTTAGTTACATTTAGATTTGTATCACCTGATGAATTTTAAAGCCTGAGTATTCATTTCAGTCTACAAACCATTAATAAATTTATTAAGTGAGGACTGAGGTACCTACAGTTAGTCATATTTCATAAGAAAGATTGACAGAATCTTGCCATTACTTGTGCTCTGTTGGTGATTTGCAAAGATCCTTTCTGTCCCACATAATCACTGCTTAGATTTTAATGTTAATAACCCTTTCTGAAATGAACAAATTTTCAACCAATTTGTGGATGTTCAAAGAGCATTAACGATAATAATAATAAAAGCATTAGCAATAAATTATCATTGTTTTGCTGGTAATTTATTATTCCATTTCAAGTTGGTTACCAAGTACAAACAAAATGTAATGCTTTTTTGAATCACAGACATGTCTGTCATTCCACGACTCTCTAGGCACTGTTGCTTTTAATGTATTTTTTGCTGTGTAAACCAACTGGTTTGTAAGTTTTAGATCTCCACCAGTTGGTATGGTAAGTAATTGCTCTCTATTCCAGCACCTTCTTCTCCAAGACAAGTATCAGAGAGTATGTCATCTTGATTATTTGAAAAGAGCATTTTTTCCACAGCTGACCCTGTGGCAAAGACTAACTGGAAATAAATCACAGAATGGATAAGGTTGGAAGGGACCACAGTAGGGTCTTATGATCCAACCTCCCTGCTCAAGCAGGGCCATCCTAGAGCACATTGCGCAGGATTGTGTCCAGATGGCTCTTGAATATCTCCAGTGAGGGACACTCCGCAACCTCTCTGGGGAATCTGTTCCAGTGCACGGTCACCCACACAGTGAAGTTGTTCTTCCTCATATTCAGGTGGAAGTTCCTGTGCACCAGTTTCTGCTCACTGCCTCTTGCCCTTTTGCTTGGCACCACTGACCAGAGTCTGGCTCCATCCTCTTGGTATCCTCCTTTCAGATACTTATAGACATTGATGAGGTCCCCTCTGATGTCTCTTCTCAAGACTGAACAGTCCCAGCTCCCTCAGCCTTTCCTTTTAAAAGAGATGCACCAGTCTCTTAATCATCTTTGTCACACTCCACTGGACCTGCTCCAGGAGCTCCACGTCTCTCTTGCCCTGAGGAGCCCAGAACTGGACACAGCACTCCAGATGTGGCCTCACCAGGGCTGAGTAGAGGGGTAGGATCACCTCCCTTAACCTGCTGGCAATACCCTTCTGAACATACCCCACGATCCCACTGGTCTTCTTGGCTGCAAGGGCCACTGCTGGCTCATGGACAGCTTGTTGTCCACCAGGACACCTAGGTCCTTCTCTGCAGAGCTGCTTTCCAGCAATTCAGCCCCCAAGCTGTACTCATGCATGGAGTTATTTTTCCTCAGGTGCACAACCCTGCACTTGCCTTTGTTGAATTATGTAGCTCTCTACACTTCTGGTTTCCTTGATTACTCTCTCAAAAATAGAGACGGCCCATTAAATGCACCTATCTTCTTAGAGATTTTCTGTTTCAATACTACAAAAGTTGTTCCATTCTAATTTAGTTTCTAAAGTATTAAATTTGAGTTAGCTGCCCCTTTGACTTCTGTGAAAATTGTACATTCAGTATCTTTCTGGGTTAGGAAAATTAATAGTAGAGTATATTTTTATCTTTCCTTATAAACATTGGAATTTGTATTTACATTCAACTGCAAGTTAATCTTTACTTCCTACAGAATTCATAATCAGGTAATGAAGTATTCCTTTAAAAATATTTTCAGTCATTCTAACTTGGTTCTGTAATGACTAATAAACTGAGGCAATACAAAATCAGATTCTCCACCTCTGGGCCTTTCTGACCTTACTTTTTTTGGTACCACTATTTGAATGCAGATATAATTGCAATCAGCATAGATTTAGCAATTATTTAATTTTGTTACTAAATGCCTTCGCATACTTAATCTGACAGTTCATTTATTTCATAAAAATGTCTTCAGTGTTTTTTCTTATCACAGTTCTAGTTCATCTGCAAACCAGGAGGAGATCTTTGTCTTATGAATAAACACATGAATAGCTCAGAGAGCTGGATACACTCAGAATGCTGCTTTAGAGAAGATTAACTACTGTTGCTAGATTGACCTTTATTTCAATTCAAAGACAAAAAAATTAAAAAGTATATACCTCCTGCCAGCACATCATCATCATTTCATACACCGGCTTACAGGCTAGTTTGGGCCGATACAAACGATGTCCTTGGCTAACCATTGTTACCACTTCATAGTTGGAGCTTTTTTCAAAGGGCATTTTTCCTTCTGTAAATACTTCCCACATTAAAACACCTGGAAAAAAATTAAAGAAAATAAGAAAAGTCTTAAACATATGTGTTTATTTTGAGCCCTGGACTTAGGATTTCTGATAGATAAAAAGTTTGAGATCCATATTCTAGAAACTGTTCACATTTGTCATCACTGAAAATACCTTGTTCTAGTAGCATGGTTTTTAATAAATAACAGTACTAAAGGTGTCTGTGGAACTTTATCTGATCGTAAAACCATAGCAAATGGTTTCTCTCAGCTTCTTTTCAGTTGTCTGATTCCTTCCCAATACCTGGAGCTTAACGGCTATAGATAAAATATAAAACTAGTGCTTTCTCTCCGTGATGAAACATTTCTTACCAAACGACCAGACATCTGACTTGCTGCTGAATCGGCTGTAATTAAAAACTTCTGGGGGGCACCATTTCACAGGAAATTTAGCCCCTGAAGAGCTTGTGTATTGGTCATCAAGGACATACCTAAAAAAAAAAAAAAAAAAAAAAGGCAGACATATCCTTCAGTCAGCCTCCAAATCTGCAAAAAACCCTGAGATGAGCTCAACTGCTTAGAGCATGGTGCTAATAATACCAAGGTGAGGGGTTCAATCCCCCTACAGGCCATTCACTTCAGAGCTGGAGTCGATGATCCCTGTCTGAATCCCTTCCAATTCAGAATATTCTGTGGTTCTGTGAAATTATAATTTAGTTTTGGATTGGAATATTAGAAGCTCACATTGCCACCTAATGGCCATGATTGTTAGCATCACACGATAAAAATAGCTTCCCTGGGGCAGTACTAAGGCTTAAGTCAAGACACAGTTCATTTTTCATATTACCTCAGAATCCTTTCTTGTGATTTATTAGCTACACAGGTCTAAGCTGCCTGCAACTTAAACATCTGTATTACGAGAGAAAATGAGGCAAAAGCAGAAATTTCTTTTTCTTTTTTTCGTCAGCCAGTGTGAGTTCAGATGTCAGGGGACCTGCAAGCTCAGCAGCACAGAGAGGTGGCAAAAGCCAAGAGCATGGTCAAACCATGGTGCTTTAACACCTTTCTTGGAAGAGTGCTCCCCACCACTGCCTCACCCACACATCACCCTCGCCGGTGCCAACAAGGGCAGGAAATTAGCCTCCCCTCCAGATCTCAGCACCTCCCAGCCCTTCAGCTAGCACAATGCAACTCTGAACCGTCTACCCCAAGAGGATCTGAAACTCACTGAAGAGCCTCTTACTAACATTTATTTACCAAAATGCAGATTAACCATTATTTCTGCTGTCTGATAAAAGCTCTAATATGCCTTTTTTAAAATGAGTAGGGAAATCAGCACATGATCACCTAAAAAACAAGCTTTAAAGATACTGTGAAAAAGAAAAAAAACCACCAAAGGCTGTTCCCTAGAGAGGTCAAAAAAATCATTTTTTGCAAGTAATTTTGCTCAGCCTATGTTGCCATTGGGCTAAATACAAGGGTTAGGTGAATTTTTCCAAATTCCCATAAATATGTTGGCACGCTCAGACGTACCTTGTCATTCCAAAATCTGACACTTTGACCACTCCTGAGTCACTCACTAAGCAGTTCCTGGCAGCCTGCAAAGGGAATGGTTAGAGTTGGAGGAAAACTTACAGTCTTTTGCAGACAAATTACAACAATATTTGTCCTCACTGCAAGTTCACACATTTACCGAGTTCAGTGGTGTGTTTTCATTATAAAAACTACGTGTGCATCTCTACTTGATAGTAGTATTTTGACAACTAGACCATTTTGTAAAAAATCACCGGAAAAAAAAATTATTACCTCAAGGGATTCATGAGTGGTGAAAATGGCACCAATACAGAACAGAGGCTATTACATTAGCACAAATAGCTACTAAGTCTTTATAAAAATTTCAGACAGATTTTATTCCATTTTCTTGGGAGAGAAAAATGTCTCATCATTTTCTGCACAGAGCAGTTTTAGAGACTTGCTTAGGCCCTAAAGAGCCAACTCCAGCCACTTAGAACTTTCTTCAAGAACAAAAGTAGTTGTTTACAAACAGGCTGTTTCAAAAAGGAATAGTAAAGTTCAAAAATAAAAATTTCAAAGAGGAGTATATTGCTTAATGGGATGTTACCAGGTCTCTGTGGATAAAGCTGTTTCTCTCCAAGTACTCCATTCCCTCACATACATCTTGGCACATAGTGAGCAGGATGTCTTTACTCAAAACTCCCCGTTTTTGTCTCAGGTAATTGAGAAGGCAGCCATGCTCCATGAACTCAGTCACGATGTAAATGGGTCTCTGTTGTGTGCACACACCATACAGCTGAACTAATTTAGGATGTGTTAACTTCCTGAAAAGATTGAGATCATGTCATTATTACTTCTTCCACACAGTGCTAGCTCTCCACCCCACAAAACTGCAAAAATACCACCTACCCCAAGTGTTTTATTTATAATCAGTATCTGGCATCAGAGACCTAGAACTGGAAATAAAAATGCCAAGCACACAACTCACATCATTACTTTAGCTTCTTCAATGAAATCCTCTTCGTACATTGCCCCTTCCCGTATTGCCTTGATGGCCACTTTATACTGTGCCCTCCATTTCCCAAGGCGCACGACTCCGAACAGACCACTCCCCAGTTCTCTCATGAAAGTCAGTTCCGAGGGATTAATTTCCCATTTTTCTATTAAAAAAACCAAGGAACAGCTAAGGAACTGGTAGGTGATAAGGAAGAGGAAAGGGAAACTGGATTAACAGCAAATTAAGGATTTTAGGGAGAACACGTTAGAATTAACTTGAAAACCAAACACTCCTATACCTCACAAAACAAACAAACTTTTAGGTAGACATGACATTTAAGCAACTTCTGACCAACACGGAAGTCAAAATTCAAACTTTCCCCGAGGCCAGCAATTACATTCTGATATTTTCAGTCGATTTCAACAAACTGCCACCATAGAAAATTGTGCCAAAGTGTAAAAGCTGCTCACATCTGATGTGGCACATTTAAAAAAAGCTTATTGCAAACTTACATTTTAAAAAATTAACCCCTCCACAAAGATCAAAGGTCCAAGATGGAGTCAGAAGCCTGGAGGCTAATGAAGGAAGTAAAGGCACAGCTCTTTAATCAGACGGAGCTCAAGGTATCCACAAAAGCATGGAGGAAAATACCGAATTCCCCTGGAGCACCAGTGACACGCTCTGCCTCTCCTCACTGCTCCCCTTGGCACCACACACCTACAACCAGCTGTGGTGCCTTTGCATACTGACACTCCATGCAAGGGCTCAAAGATACACCTGGACCAGTGTAAGTTAGTATAGCCAATCACAGTACAGAATTGGACCTTTTCAAAATGTTTAGAAGATATTTTAGCATCTTAACATAAAATCATAGAAAATCTTAACATAAAATCGTTAGAAAAAATATGTGTAGATGAATACAACACGCAATCACCATAGCTGAATCCTGCCGTTGTTGGTGCTGTCGTCTTCTTTGGGGTCACTGGGTAACGCAGCCTGGTAACAAGACCTGAGGTTCAATGATAAGACACAGTTTACTTCTGAAATAGTGCCAGGCAGCAACTCAGCCACTTGTTCACTGCAGACTCCAACCCTGATTAACAGTCAGCTTATTGTTATATACAGCTTTGACCGTATTTTCTGTTATTGCATTGTCTTGATTCTAAGTGGTTGTGAGAATTACACAAGCCCTCACTACATCTAACTTGTTGCACCTTCTTTACTGGTGAGAGATGGATATGGATATATGCATACATATTTGTGCTTTACAGTTATGCTGGCACCAAAAAAGGCTGAGAACTCCTTTCATAAAGCAAATCAGAAAGATTATCTAAAATGCACAATGTTACTTGATCATTTCTCTTTCAGACATATAAATCCCACATGTTTCACATAGGGATTTTATATGTCGCATGTTGAATTACCTGAATATATTCTCATAAATATATTTTCAAAACTTGATACAACAAAAGGAATGAAGCAATTAAAAATATGTAGAAAAATCATTTATAATAAATGAAAAGTGGGCTTGTGCTTTTGTGGTGTATTTTTCAGAAAGGCATTTTCCAGAATATCACCAGGAAATGCTGCGTCATCAGAGTTTGATGTAAAGATCTGGAAACCATAGGTTATAAGGAAAATTTATGCACAGACTGGACTTGAAAAAAAAATACTGTATCAGTATATGTGCCTTGAACTCAATTCCTAAACTCTTCTATTATACAGTGGGCAAACACCAGCACCAGCCATCAGCTATAGATCTGAAGTGAAACAGGGATTTCTTGAACAACACGTTACTGTTCTCCCCATCTATTTGCTATATAGGAAGGTTAGATCATTCTAAGTGGCAGCAGCCAGCAGGTAAAAATCTAGTGCCTGGAGAGTATTTTGGGGAAGTACCATCCCTGTCCATCTGCTGTGGGTTACAGGGAGCTGATAAAGGCACTATATGGGGCTAAGTGAATAATTCCTGACTTGATACAGTATTTCTTCTGTTACTCTGGGGACAGTAACATATCTATATATTTTATATATATATATATATATATATATATTTATATATATATATATATATATATATATATATATATAAACACACCTTTACATAAAACCTTTCAAATGATTGCATTGAAATAATGTGAAAATGCAGTGTTCCATGACTTCCCTTGAAAAGAAGGATCTATAAAAACCTAAAAATTTTCATTAAAACCCTAAAATGCCTCACTCTCCTTTTCAAATCAACCCTAAGTGACAGAAAAATCCAGTCCATCTACCTGCTGCATTATGTTGATGATACTCAATTATGTCTGGAATGGAGTTAAAGAGATGTTTTTCTGCCAGGTAGTACTGCTTTGGTGATGTTACTGTTTCTTTTATATGATAGTGTCTTACTCCTGATGAGCCTTCCCTGGAAAAATAATAACAATAACATAAATTAATAATAATACATTGCCATTTGTTGTGACCTTTTTAAGAGGAGCGCATTGACTAGGAAAACGAAACTGAAAGGGCCCACAGAGATGCCCAGTGTCACACACTTTGAGAACAGCTTGAATGTCCAACATCCCAAGCACTGGTGACTCGCCTTCATCTCAGTGCTCAAACCAAGTTGAAGATTAACCCAGAATAGGTTAATTTTCAGCCCGGCAAGCTCCCCAGTCCAGCTCACACACTTGACACAAACACAGGCTGGAAGGAGGTAAAAGACCAAATGGGGTGAGAGAGAAAAACTTCCCTCTCTGGGTAGGGGTTTAGGTTTCCTCTGGTTTAAACCAAATGTGGCCTAACCATGGAGTTGAGAATTTCATTTTAATCACCCATCTTTTCTATCACATCAGCCCTTGTTTCTTTATTGAGTTCTTTCCTGGGCTTTCCCCCATCCAATGGATTTAGATACAGATACAAATAGATTCGGGCAAGACAAGGCATGCAGAGCAGAACAGAAACTCACCCTCCAAATTTTGTATAAAGGGAAACTGTATACAGGCCAGGCTGACTGGAGTCTCTCACCACAAAACCACCTTCTTTATCCTGAAACACATGCACATTGACGGTTTTGTAAAACTACTTTTAAGCTACATGACTCTTTTACTTGTTCTAGGATATGCACTTGCCAAAATAAGCCTCCGCTTTAACAAAAGAAGCTACTTGAAGCAAAACACACAGCTGATACTGCAAGGCTGCTGTGCTCACCTCATTTCTGAGGAGCTGTTCTGCCTTGCTTCTGTTCAGGTTTCGGCTGTACCACCTGCAACACAACATCAGTAAATAAAACTTCTCCAAGGTGCATGATTTACGTAAAAAGCTTATAGCAAAGCATTATGAAGCTACAGATTCAGTAATTTTATGATTAATGAAGATCAAGAATTCAACCTTTGACAATGTGTAAAAATCAGTGTCTATTACACTGTGCAGTTATCCCATAAGAATGCCCTGAAACAAATCCAGAGAGATCCCACAGAAGCCAACAAAACTCAGGTAACTGATACACATTTTCAGAAAAAACATTTTTTAAACATTCACAGGCTGATGGCTGTTGCTGCAAACAGCAATCTGAGGGCAGGCTGGCAGCCCTGAGGAAGCAGCTGCCTGCACACCGGTCAAGCCACCTGTGGAGTTGGCTGCTAGACTGCTATGTCATTCAATAACTCCATGGTTGTGGGCTTCCAGGGAGAACCCACCTAGCAAAGAGGAGGCTGAAATTAAGTGTCACAGTTACACATCCCTGAGCTCTGTGCTGAATGGGCAGGTTAAAGCAGCCACAGAAGCACCAACACGTCAGTCAGTTGCAGAGAATATTAAAAAAAGGAAAAACAGGCAGCTCGCAAATGGTGTGGTGCAACCGTTTTGAGCTATGCTGTCATGGTGGTAACCAAGCAGGGAAGTGGCACAGCAGCCTTTAATCAGATTCTGCCTGTTCCGGAGATAGTGGTTTCTTGCAGTTGGTAGATGACCTGGAGTAATGCTCCCTGGATTGCACAGTGACTCAGAATTACGGCCCCAAGTTGGTAAAAGCACAAAGTGGTTGGACCAGATAAGGCAGCTCAGTTCCTTCCTTCCCTTTCTGCTAGCCCTGAAGCCCAGCCTAGAGCAGAGCAGAGGTCTTATCAAGAGCCTCTAAGATGAGAAAGCAACAAAGAATTCCCTCTAGTGAAGCTGAGGGCAAAATCCCAGACAAAATTTCACCTTCTGTCAAAACACAGGAGTAGGAGCCATATGTAGCTGAGAGTAGAGTTTTGGAGTTACTAATGTAGTTTTCTAAACTGGTTTTAATTATTATTTTCTTAGAGCTCCATTTTATCTACAAGTTATTAAATATGTTGTAAGTTCTCAGGCACAACAGTTTATGCTGTACTGATATTTGAATATCAAGAATAACAGGCTTGGATACTTCGGTGTTAAATTTTATCCAGATGTTCTTAAGTAAGTGTTCCATGATTAAATATTAATGGGGAAAAGCATTTTTTTTAAAAGCTAGACATCTATAGTTGTTAAGTACATACACTGAGACTTAAAATGCACTAAATTACGTATTTTCTTGAAAATTTGAGCTGCCTTCCAAAATCTGTTATGTTTACTTTGAATGATTTCCACTGTTTTCTGCTCTACTATCTTACTGCCACAGACTTTGGATAGAGATGTCACTTTAATATTAAAACAACATTCAGCACAGTTATGATGGGTGAATTTCCTTTAAAGTTTTCCTTTGTCTACCAGAGAATTAGGAGGGCTTTCTTTGCTTTAACAGCGATAGCCTAAGTACTACATGCCTGATGGTCATCTCATTGACTTGATCTTACATTAAAAATCACAACATAATCAATGAGGAGAATCTCAAAAAAATATATGCCTATTTCAATTGTTTAACCTCTAAGTTCTGTCATATGTAAACAATTGCTTCCAAAATGTTAAAAATACATTGTCATTCTTGAAGCATGGGTTTGATTTTATGACATTCCAAATTTTAATGCAAATATTCACTTACTCATATTGATCAAGGTTGTTGGACTTCTTTTCTGTTACATAGTTGCTTGGAATATATCCTTGTTTTCTAAAAAGATATATGACACAAATCTGAGTGAAAAAATGTAAAATTGCATGCCTAGAAGACAGTGTTTCATTCTGCTAATTACCAGAGGTCTCTCAATACAATTTATATACTACTTACCCACCCATTCTACTACTGATTATGCAGGAACTAATTTTCCACAGCAGCATTTCCACATTCACTTTCAGCACCCTGGGAGAAGTGACATGGGAAGCAGAAGTGTCCAACAAAACCAGCAGAAAGGGTGAAGGAGAGTAACCCTCTGCTGCTCTGTCACTTCTGCACTCAGAAGTCCCAGTCAGTCACGGGAAATACGTTTTGGAGCCTGCCACAGGCTGATAACTCATAATTACCTGTACCATAAGGCAACAGGAATCTGATACATATTGAAACATGAAAACTTTCATCTTTAAAACCACAGGGAAAAATTTTAATTCAGGGAATGTAAAGCTGTAGTCATTACAATTGTAACTCTCAACTCATTCAAAGATTGTCTCTAAAGATACAGCTATTAAATAAAACTACGATGATTATTCAAGTCTGGAAGTCGGAGCCTGCTGAGCAGAGTGTTAACCGTACTGCTCCCTAATGAGATGGTCCTCAGGGAAGCGGGAGTACTGTACCAGTCTAGCAAGGTTTTACAGGATGGCTGGTGCCTTAATTGGGAAACCATAATGTCAGATAGAAAACATAACTGGAAAAGCATCCAGTTCTGCAACCGTCTTTGCACACAGGCCCCAAAACCTATCGAGTACCGCACTTTTTAAAATTGGTTTCTGTGTGGGAATATATGGATGAGATTTCAGGGCTGGGGTTCAAAGTGCAGTTATTTGATGACATATAGTCAATATGAACTACTACAACAAGGAAATAGCCTTATGAACTTTATAAAAAAAATAAGGAACTCGTGTTTACCCATATTTGTCTCTCGCCCTCCACCAATGAATGTCGTTCTTCTCAATCACTGTATATTCTTCACCTTTCTCTAATCTTAAATCATGATGTTCTGTAGGTTCAAAGTCATACATTGCTACCACTATCTCCTCCTCTTCATTGCCATTTTCTTCAACTGGAGGAACAGGTGGTGGAGGTCTTCGCTGAAAACAACACAACATTATTATCATCCCAATCTGCTCCATTTTTCCACCCCACCCACCTTTACCATCACACCAGTGCATCCTGGAGGCAAAAGCTGGGATATTCCTGAGTTGTCCCAGGGGGGAGCTGTGGTGGCCCAAGGAGGCAGCTGGATGCCTGGCAGTAAATCACATAGGTGGGTGGTACCCATGGGGCTGGTTTGTGCTGCAGCTCCACAGATGCCAGTAAAGGGCAAAGCTGGCTGGCATTTGCTTTTTGGCCACATCTTCCACCAGAAGTACAGACACGGCTAATAGATACAGCTAAATTTCAATGGGATTTTTTTCACCCTGTGACAGAGCATGATGCCCACTGATGTGTACAGAAAGAGACCTTTGTTCCAGGATATGGAAAGAATCTCAAGAAATTTAAGCACTGTTTCAAAAAGCAGCAATTATCTATTCAATATTTTGAATAGATACTTACCACACTTTTTTCTGGCATTGGAGAGGACAATCTCATTACATCTAGAAACAAAGCACAGAAGAGGATTTATGTCTATCCATTTAGCTATAAATTTAAAAATTAAGTAAAAGGTTTAAATTTCAGATAAGGTTTTAATACCTCAGCAAGCCTCCAGGATGGTTTAGAAAAGCAAAGACAACTCCAATTAAGCAAGAGGAAAAATGATTAAATATTCTTGTAAAAACATCCTAAATGAGCCAGCAGGTTGCATGCACCACAGATTCAGCAAAGTCTGTGCCACACCACAGCATGCCACAGAGAGCCCTGAACTGCTCTTCTATGCCCCTGACCCCTGCTTTGCTAAACTAGGCATAACAATTGTATGTATTTTTTTATTACATCTCTCTGATCCAGAAGTATTTTTCTCCTGCACTGCTTTTTTTCAGCAAATACAAGGTTGAGCTGTATGTCATGCTTTACATTTTGCTGAATAAGAACAGCCATGAGCCACTGTTTATTCTTTAGTCTTTTACTGCAACTAAATCCACAGGTCCCCACCCACTACCATTTAAGGCACTGACATAAGAAATCATTGAGTGCCACTGATTTAAATGGGAGATAAGCAATGGCTCCATTTCTTTTCCTACTATGGAATTTTCCTTAAACCAAGGACAAAATAATAACTATATCCTTTGTAGGACAATATTGCAGTGCTACAGCAGTGCATGCAGGAGCATCCACTGTTGAATAAGCAGAATCTGCAATTTGGATGCTGGAATATGCACATGCCTACAGAAATCACAGCTCATCACAGTTAATACTGGGACATTTACAAACCTCTGAGAAAATTCAGTCCTGTGTCTGTAAAAACATTAAACCTTCTTGTACTGTTTTCAGCCTGGTGTAGTAACGCTGAACGTAATACAGGTATTATTCTTTCACATGGGTTAATAGAGGTTTTAATAAATAACTGAAGAGTTGACAAGATTTCTGGCTGAATCTTTTCTACCATCAGGTTTTATCCTCAGTCTGAGACAAACACTTGGTCAAATAAGTTTGAAATGGGAGAAACAAATCAAGTGAAATGCAACCTCAATGATTCCTTTCAACTCTCTGTAAACATTTTTTATTTTTGGCAAGGACATTTTGCTGGTCTTTCTATTTTTTACAAAATACTTGGAAAGGAAACAAACATTTTGACTTACTTTATGCACAGTATCAATGATTGAATCTGCTCTGTAAATTTGACTAATATCCAGGTCATTCAGGGGTGATGACAGTATCATATAAAAAAGCAGAAAAATATGCCAGAGTAACTTCACATGAAGACACATGTACTTACTGTTTTCAAAAAGATTGTATTTTTCACAGCCAGGAGCTAATTTTTCTGTCTGTCTGCAGCACTGATAAATTCCCTCTGTCCAGAATTTAGGATGATATTTTACCATTATATTGCTGTTGTTCTTTATTTCTACAAGAAGAAAAAGAACATACAATGAAAGACACCAAAAGAAAAGTTTACAAGAGAGTAATTTTTAATACGTATTACAATATCTTTGCCCTTACTTTAGCATTGCTTCTCTTAAGCGCTTTCCTGCAAGTTTATATGGAGGTGATACAACAATCATAGAGGATATTTTTAGGGTAATAACATGACTTTACTCCAGAATGGAGTGCTCTACTCCCCACCTACAACAGCCATCCCAGCAGGGTTTTGGTGCACCCATGAAAAGAGACCCAGGTGCCCATCTGCACCATACGAATCATTCAGGCAGCAGTGAAGGTTCTGGGAGTTCTGCCTGGTCCTTTATTACTGCTGCAAGAGTCTCAAATTCCTCTACAAACAGTGTTCTGGAGGGAAAGATAGCTGACATTTATCTCTAGTCCATGGCACAATTCCTGAGTTTGGTTTGAAAGGTTCCTTACCCCCATGCTATGGCTTGCTGAGTTTCAGAAGTCACTCCTTGACCTGTGATCCCCAGCCCAGAAATCACTTATTATTTTACAGACCATCTGTAATTAATGTGAGCATCTGATGGTGAAAGAGAGCATTAAGAGGCTCATGAAAATAAAGCTTTACTCACTGTGATAGAACTTATCAGATCACATAATTTTACATGGCCCACAATCTTGTCTAGCTGCATCCAAACAAAACTTTTGAGTGATGCCATTAACTAGCTTGGACAAACTTTTTGATGATTTACTCATTGTGCAAAACCAGAGAGTCAAATTCTGATTGCAGCTAGACTTCACAAAATCAAATCAGTCTGGATGTTTGATACTCCCAGTGCCTGTTATCACACTCTGTGTATGCAAGCGATGAGTTGGCCTAGTAAGAAATTATAATTGGTGGATATAAGCAACAAAAGCTCTAACATTTTATTTTTATAATTTGCTGGGGGTTGATGCTGGCCAGCAGCTAAGCATCCATGCAGTCACTTGCCCACTCCCCCAACCCAGCAGGGTGGGGAAAGAATAAAAAGAGCAAGAGATAAAAACTTGTGGCTTGAGATAAAGACAGTTTAATAACTGGAAGAAAGAAAAAAACCAAAAGGCAATCACTCACCATCTCCCACAAGCAGACCAATGCCCAGCCAGTCTCTGAGCAATGGCCAATATGGAAGCAAAAACACCCAATCCCTGTCTTCCTCTACCCCAGCTTTTGTTGCTGAGGACAATTTTATATGGCCTGGAATATCCCTTCCGTCAGCCCAGTTCTGCTGTCCTGGCTGTGTCACCTCCCAGCCTCTTGCCCACCCCCAGCCTACTCACTGTGGGGACAGAGAAGGAAAAAGGCTGTGCAAGCACTGCTCAGCAGCAACTACAACATGGTATGTTTTCAACACTGTTTTGGCCACAAATCCAAAACACGGTACCAAGTTAACTCCAACACATCCAGACAGCTAAAGTAAAGGCATCTGCCTATGTCAGATGTTAAGTATAAGCAATTCCCATTACCTTCTTTCAGGTTCTTCACCCACTGATCTCGGCTTTGTGCGCTCGGTGCAAAAATATAAAGCGTATTAGCGTCATATACAACCTGAAGGGAGGAAAGAAATAATCAAAATACATTTACCTTGGTATTAACTTATTTTTGCCTCAGGAAACAGAGGAAACAGAATAAGACTGTTGTATTTAGCAAGACTAGTGTATTGAGGCACAAAATGCAGAAACTGGGAAAGGTTATTAAGGTTTATTATTCATATATGATGCTTCCAGGAGAATAAGGAAGGATTTTGTAATGGTATCTATCTTGACATCATTCCATAAAATGCTTCACGCTTTTCTTTGTTCATTCTTCACCATGTGTTTTCTAAAAACAACTCAATTCAATCATTATAGCTATTTAATAATCAGACATCCTTTGTTCCAGCCATTTCACAGCTCCCTGCAATTCTGTACTGCCTGGGGTGACTCTCCCTTTTTTTTATTTCACTGCTTGTATTGCTCTGGAAGAAAGGGATCAGAGTCCCCTCTCCAGCAGTGGAATTCATCCTCACTCCAACTATTCCCTCTACAGTACAGAGGCACAGCATCCAACCCACCTTAGTTTTCTTTTTCCCCTCTAAGCAATTTGTTTTCTGTGTTTATTTCCATTCAATTCACAATGAAAATAAAAGCAACAAGTTTTATCTTGATTTTCTTATTTCTATATAATTTAATGGTAATTAAAGTTAATTTAATGTGGAAGACTGAAGACAGAAAATGGGCTGCCAGCTTACTTGTTTTGGAGGATGACCAGGACCTTCCAGTCAAAACTCAAGCAGAAAGGATGGGGAAAAGAAAAAGACCAAGTGTATGAGGCACAACTCCCAAGGGAGGGGACTGCAGGGGGAGCAGAGCTTGCTGGGGATGGGTTTTAACCACTGATCCTGAACTACCTCCCACCAGTCCCAAAGAGCCAGAAAATAGGTTCAGTATTTAGGAGTGACAGCAATTTTAAGGGAAGTTACATCCAAATGACTTGGCACTGTTGAAAAGAGCACTGTAATTTATATATTTTATATAAAAGAAACATACCTGAAATGGATATTTATTTTGACAGGGAATAATACCATCACTTTTTACAACTTCTACACATTTAATCCTTGAAATATCCACAGATCCTTTTCTGTACTTTTTCTAGAAGAGAAAACCAAAAAATATTAGTAAAAAATAAACAATTTATTTAATTTCCTTTTCAGCAGAGTCTTCTTGCTTTCTTTTCCATTTAAAAATTGATATTGTTTTAGCTGCAGAAGTCATTTGAAAAATATCTCTATAGAGGATATAAATATCTACGCTTGTGAAAGTGCAGAGTACAGTAAAATTGCTTAGTGAAAAATACCACTTCTTCATATAGAAAGTTTCCAATCAGTTGTAATCATAGGCTTAATCTACTCTTCTTTACAAAAAATAACTTGAGTACAGAAGAAGGAAGAGCTTCCCTTTGGTTGATTTTAAATTATGATTAAAACTGGTGAAGGAAATAGGTGCCAATGCATCATCTCATCTGGTCACTCACTCTGTTGCTGAAGTGCTACCACCATTTGGTGGCTACTGCTATGTTTCACCAAGTTTCCAGAGAAACTGGGATGCTAAACAGGCAATACAAGTCCCTGATGAGGCAGGAAGCAGAAGACAGACATGTCTGGGTCAAGCTGGGGTCTGTATTGAAGGAACTTCTTCGACCAAGGCTAGGAGAAGCCCAGAGAAGCAAGGTTGAAAGCAAAGACATCTGAGAAGATTTAGGTCACCTAAACTGATAATTATGAACATTTTAAAGAAGGCAAGGGTGTTCGGCAGGTGCTGCCCAAAGCATAGAAATACACTGTAATTCAATACTCTGGAGAGGCGGCCCCTTGGAATAACAGTTCATAATGGGAGGGGAAGTGTACTGGGCTTTAGCCTACACTGAAGTCTCTAAGGAGACTGTATAGTGCCACCTCTCACTTCTGGGAGAGCCAAATCTCTAATAGGAGAGGAAGTTTCTTCTGGAATATGAACAAAACAAAATCACTAGCAGCTCATGACTGGTCCTGAATTAACACATATCAAAAGTTTTGATTTGCAAAGCACATCCAAAAAACATCCAGTCCAGAGTATGGCTTAGGAAAGATTGACACTGTTGACACAATGTGGACATAATCAGTAATTACTGAATTATTTGAGACATGCCAATCCGTACTCAGCTGCCCTCTTCTCTCCCAAGGTTGGAAATTTCAGCCCAATAGCAGAAGTCTGGTACAGTCATAAGCAACTGAAAACACAGTCTTGTAAACAGAGACAAAGAACAACTACAAATGTAGCTGTCATAATTCCATCATCCTAGAAACACGATAGTTACTACCCATGGAAGCTTGATCAGCATTTAAAATGCATATAGCACTCTGTCTCTTATGTAGGTTGCTGCAGAGAAAGCATGGATGAATAACTCATGCCTGTCATGGTCAGCATCAGGAAGAATGACAGGAGCTAAGTTCAGATAAAGCTGTAGCTGTTACTTAATGCCAAGAAAATCAACACACACAGAGGGATTGGGTTTTCTTTTTATGGTGAGGGTTTAATTAACCATAAAAAAAAAAAAGTCAAATCATAAACATTACCACGAGCTGTACTACATAGATATATCATGTAATGCTGAAAAATAGTTTTCATCAAGTATGCAACACTGGATTTTTACATTTTAAGTCTTCTGTTTATTTTATGTGGGTCTCTTCCAACTCAGGATATCATATGATTCTGTGGTATCCCCTTACTTGAACACTGGCTCCCTAAAGTAAAACACGCATCCCTGCAAAAGCCAAAAACTGAGTTGCTGAAGTCTACAACACTTGGTACAGCAGGCAGTACTGCTTCTCCCTCAGTGACAAGGGTCACTGTGTAGCAGGCTTGGCAGTTTCAGGGCTGCCAGATTAGCCAAGACTGAACGGGAGGCATTCAGTAAGTGCTCACTCAAACAGAGGATACAACTGCCAGGAGGATGAAGGACAAGAATCCAACTAGATAATCATCTAACATTTGGGGGGATAAAATAAAGGAAACCCAATGATTTAAAGCACATCATTCTTGTAATTGTATTTCCTAAATCATCCCTTTCTACATTTTTATGATTTAAGATGGCTCAGTCTGCTTCACCACAACATGTTGAATTAAGCCACCTCAAAGTTGACTCACAACTCAATGCAGCAAATTAAGCCTAACATCAGAGAAGATTATTCCTTTTTTGCGTATTTTATAGATTTTCAAAGAAAGCTTACATATGTGAAATTAAATACAAATCTACTGCTCCAGACATGCTTCAGATTACATCAGAAGCAACAGTTATTAATGGCCACCAGCTTTCAAATTGCCAAGAGTGAAGCTCTGTTTTAGCTCAGCATTACTCACTAAAAACTATGAGGCACCGAAGCAGGAAAGGATGACTCAAGAAAAGTGCTAGAGAGACCACTGCAATTCCTCTCTCCTCCCTACTTAAATGATTTCCCTTTGTAATAGGACACCTAGCATACCATCACTATGTCGCATTTATTCTACGAGCCAAATGCCTTGCTCTAGACCCAGGCAAGCAGCAGACATGAAATGCAGAATTAAGGGAGAGCTCAAGCCCTGAACCATTTGGGAAGCAGAGGTGCAGGCACGAACCAGCCCTGAGTAATCCACCCAAACCACTCTTTCCAACAAGTGACCTCTGCTACAGAGGTAGAATTAGTACAATTAGTACAATGGCTAATCATTTGCCAATGCCAAATTCTAGGAGGCAGAAGGACATTTTTAAAGTGGTGTTCTTTGGAAGGTGGAAGATTGCTAACATAGTAGAAAAAGGTTAGATGCACTGTAGAAACAGTAGTATTTCACCAGAACATTTGTGTATGCTGTCTCCACCTCTTTTCCGAAGATAGATATACACCTCTAGAGGGAGGCCTATAGAAGCAAATATGGTTAGAACAGTAATAAAGGTATAAAAATACTATATCCCAATAAGGATAACAAATAGGTAAAATATGTGCTCCAAAGTCGCACTAAAGGTTGGGGTTTTGTTGTGGGGTTTTTTTAATGTATCTGCTTGCTGAAAATAACAAAAGGGAAGTGACTGTATAGAAACTACTATACAAAGCTGGTCAAAATGCAAAATACCATACATATTTGCCTATACTTCAAAAAATTGATTTACAGTTTTAGAAGCCCTGCTCCTTGCTCACAATGGGAATGGCCAGTCCAGGCATTAAGTCTTGGTTCCATGCAATCCAAACAGAATAAGCTATTTCTATTTTTTTAAAAACATATAAAACAGCAGTATTAAGAAATCATAACACTAGACCTATGTTTTCAGATATGGAACAAACATATCATTACACAATTCCTTAAAAGAAATAATCTAAGAATACAGGAAGACAAGAAAAATCTAAGTGTTAAATAAGTGTACAGTCACACAGCTGATCCTCTGTACACTTAGGATTACTCCTCTGCTGATTACAGCAGCTTTACACCTTAAGAAGCCCATACCCTCACTGTCAGATAAAAATATTTCTTCCTCTTTGCTGATGAAGACATTGTGCTGCTTACCCTCACAAAAGTGTGTGTGTGTGTGTGTGTGTTAAACAATACACAAAGAACATTACATTTCGAAAAAAAAAACCCTCAATGAAAACATGCAGAAGTTAGCCCAGCTGTCAAGAGATATCAAGATTTGTCTCCCCCATGCTGTCTCTTTCTCTCTTTCGTTGCTGTTCATATCATTTCTTTCTCCAGTGCTTACCCCCATGTAGGAAATCCTGAGGTCACCAGCATGTGACCCATGGAACTTGTGCTCTCAGAGCTATAGCAGGTCACAGCTTTACTGACATCTCCTTTTATGGAGCTGCTCTACAACTTTACAAAACCTCGAAAAGCCTGGCTAAGTCAACACTGCCCACAGACAGCTTCTGTGGCAGAATATTTGGCTCCAGAGCCAAATGTAAGGGTATTTTCATTTTTGGTTTTTGGTCGGGTTTGTTTTGTTGTTTGGGGGGGGAGAGGTTGGGCTTTGGGGGTTTTTTGTTTGGTTTTTTAATAGTATTGCCATTTAGCAATAAGAAGCACTGACTGTATACTGCTGCAGTTCACTCTTGAGGCAAGCAATTCCTCATTATGCAAATATAATGACTGTAGCTAGGTGTTAGATGGCCACATTTTCCATTCCCATATTTTCCAGTGTGTCAGAGGTGTTAAAGAACGCTCTGTCTCCTTTCAATTAATTTTTTAATATTATTTTAACAGAAGCAAGTATCAAATATTTTTATTTACCTTTCCAAAATGGCCAGAATTGATACAAAAAGCGAGAGGTGACTACTATTCTGATCTCGACCTGATCCAATATCTGACTCCTGAGAAGAATTTAAAGGGGGAAAAAAACAATCAAACAAAAAAAACCCACAAAAACACCTGTCTTGCAAATTAAGAAACTGAGAATCCGTTACCATCATCTGGCTGCTCAGCAGATGTCAGCCACCAGCACTGGAGAGACTGAAAAGCACAAAAATTAATTATCCATCATAGAACTGATGCAACTTCCTAACCATGACTATAATGCATTTTCTATAATTTACTCTTCTCCTGCAACCGAGAGGCAGTCAGTCAAATGTACACAACTGCAGTTATGATACATTGCTGCAACCACACAAGAGTAATGGACACAATAAATCAGCCAGGTCTCCATCCATATCAGGCCTTAAATAACCTATAACCTTCCAGCTGTCAAAGTAACCAGCACATCTCTAGATTCTTTCAAACAAATCTTCTCGTCCTGGTTTTCTCTGAAGTCCTCACAGAGCTCTGTCTGCCCAGCCTAGTTGTAGCATTTCTGGCCTGTTTTTTCCCCTCTCAGGGCCACTGCTCTTTCTGCTGGGTAAGTGACATCTTGCATTCAGCCACCCCCCTAACACAGCCTTCATGTTGTCTAACACTAGACTTGGACAACCCAAGCCAAAAAGAGAGGATACCCAAGTTCACAGGCATCAACAGGTGAGTGACCAGAACACAAGAGAGGACCCAAGAGGTCACCTAGTCAAGGCACCAGCTGCTTTATCTACTTTCTCAAGGTTCAGATGATGGACTCCACAACAACAGAGCCAAGAGGTTTTTATATGTCTTTGGAGATTCTT